GGAAACCAATGGGAAACACCACAGGGAAATCAATGGGGAAATCAGTGGGAAACCAACTGGGAACCCAATGGGAAATCAATGGGGAAATCAGTGGGGAAATCAGTGGGGAAACCAGTGGGAAACCAATGGGGAACCCAATGGGAAATCAATGGGGAAATCAGTGGGGAAAACAATGGGGAACCCAGTGGGAAACCCAGGAGGGGAACCAGTGGGAACCCAATGGGGAAACCAATGGGAAACACCATAGGGAAATCAATGGGAAATCAACGGGGAAATCAGTGGGGAAACCAACTGGGAACCCAACGGGAAACACCACAGGGAAATCAATGGGGAAATCAGTGGGGAAACCAGTGGGGAAACCAATGGGAAACTCTCCAGGGAAGCCAGTGGGAAACCCCACAGGGAAAACAGTGGAAAACACCACAGGGAAACCAATGGGGAAACCCCACAGGAAAACCAATGGGGAAATCAATGGGAAATCAGTGGGGAAAACAATGGGAAACCCCACAGGGAAACCAGTGGGAAACCAACTGGGAACCCAATGGGAAACCCAGGAGGGAAACCATGGGAAACCCCACAGGGAAACCAGTGGGAAATCAATGGGAAAATCAGTGGGGAAAACAATGGGAAACCCTACAGGAAAACAATGGGGAAATGGATGGGGAAACTCTACAGGGAAACCAACAGGGAAACCAATGGGGAAATCAGTGGGGAAACAAATGGGAAACTACAGGGAAACCAATGGGAAACCCAGGAGGGAAACCAACGGAAAATCCTACAGGGAAACCAATGGGGAAATCAATGGGGAAATCAGTGGGGAAACCAGTGGGAAACCCCACAGGGAAACCAATGGTAAAACCCACAGGGAAATCTATGGGGAAATCAGTGGGGAAACCAGTGGGAAACTCCACAGGGAAACCAACGGGGAAACCAACAGGGAAATCAGTGGGGAAAACAATGGGAAACCCCACAGGGAAACCAGTGGGAAACCAACTGGGAACCCAATGGGGAAACCCAACAGGGAAACCAAAGGGAAACCCTATAGGGAAACCAATGGGAAATCAGTGGGGAAACCCAATGGGGAAATCAATGGGGAAATCAACAGGGAAACCAACTGGGAATGCAACAGGGAAATTGGTGGGAAATCAATAGGGAAACCCAATCGGGAACACAACTGGGAACCCAGTGGGGAAACAAAGGGAAAAACAGCAAGGAAACCAATGGGAAACCCAACAGGGAAACCCAACTGGGAACCCAATGGGGAAATCAAAGGGGAAACCAACGGGGAACTCAACAGGGAACACAACTGGGAGCCCAGTGGGATGCTACTGGGAATCCCACAGGGAAACACCATGGCAAAACCCAGCAGGGTCCTGCTGGGACCCCCATGGGGTCCCCACCGGGACTCACAATGGGGTCTTGCTGGGAATTCCCGCAGGAATCCAGTGGGGATTTCCAACAGGATCCTACTGGGAATCCAGCTGGGAACCCTACTGGGACCCTGCACTGGGAATTCCGGTGGGGTCCTGCTGGGAACCCACAGGAAACCCAGTGGGGTCCTAGTGGGAGCCTCCATGGGGACTCAGCTGGGATCCCTGCTGAGATTCCCCACTGGGGACCCCAAAGTGGCTCATCAGCTGCGAGTCCACTGGGAAACCCACTGAGAGCCCCACGGGCACCCAGCAGGGATTCCCAGCAGGGTCCTACTGGGAATGCCCACGGCCAGTGGGGATTCCTGCTGAGGGCTCCACAAGGTCACACGGGGAGCCCCCATGGGTGTCAGACCAACGGGCTCCTTCTGAGCACCCACTTGGGATCCCTGCTGAGATCCCCCTGGACTCCACCGGTAACCCCAGACCCCACGGAAAACCTGCGTGGAGCCCCTTGGGACCCTCACCCTGTGACACAGCAACGCCGCAAGCCCCCTCCCCCAGGCCCAAACTGGGACTCCCAAACCCAAATTGGGATGTTCCCAAATCAGACTCGGGAGCCCCTTCAACCCCAAACCAGACCCCAAAGAGGGGACCCCCCCTCCCATCGAGCCACACACCAAAAAAAGAGATTCCCCCCTGCCTCAAACCAGTGCCCAGACTGGGGCACCCTGCCCTTAAACTGGGGCACCCTGCCTTTAAACTGGGATGCCAGGCTGGGTGCTCCTGAGGCACCCCGCGGGTGGGATCTTGGGGTGCTGGAGGTGGTGCCACAGCGGTGATTCCAGGGACCCTGAGGGGTGCTGGTGGTGCCAGGATGGGCAGCACTGGGCAGCACTGGGCGGCACTGGGCGGCACTGGGCAGCACTGGGCAGCACTGGGCAACACTGGGCAGCACTGGGTGGTACTGGGCAGCACTGGGCAACACTGGGCAGCACTGGGCAGCACTGGGCGGCACTGGGCAGCACTGGGCAACACTGGGCAGCACTGGGCGGCACGGGGTGGTACTGGATGGTACTGGGCAGCACTGGGTGGTACTGGGTGGTACTGGGCGGTACTAGGCAGCACTGGGCGGCACCGGGTGGTACTGGGCAGCACTGGGTGGCACTGGGCAGCACTGGGTGGCACTGAGCAGCACTGGGCGGTACTGGGCAGCACTGGGCGGCACGGGGTGGTACTGGATGGTACTGGGCAGCACTGGGCAGTACTGGGCAGCACTGGGTGGCACTGGGCAGTACTGGGCAGCACTGGGTGGTACTGGGCAGCACTGGGCGGTACTGGGTGGTACTGGGCGGCACTGGGCAGTACTGGGCAGCACTG